TTTTTTTTTTTTTGGTTGGCCGGCTGTTTTGATAACGGGGGTGGGACCGGCTATGAGAGAATTCGTCGTTTGCTCACCGGGGAGGTCTGTAAGTTAAGGGGCCACTCTCATGGCGGCCGCGTCTCCCCCACAGTCCCGGTCCCGGAGGAAACGTCCGCGCCGTCACCCGGGACGGCGTGTGCCCGGTGCCAGGGGCGCTGGGAAAGCTCCCTCGCTTTTCCCGCCGCCCGGCAGGTCAGAGGTGACCAGGGGCCAAAAGAAGAGCCGGTGACCTGCTCCCTGAACCCCGCCAGGAGGACCCCGCGGCCTTCAGCGCGCCGGGGACCGAGCTCCGGGTCGAGTGGCAGCTGGGATTTTACCAAAAGGATGAAGTTATCTGTCACAGAGGGATCCCAATCCACCCTTGGGCCTGTTAGCTCAAAGTTTTATAAGCCGTTTCTGTTCGGCTTTGAGATGATCAAAAGCATTTTGTGGTTCCTTCTGCACTTTTGATCATGTGCCCACCAAACGTAGTTTTGGAGAACTACATTCCCTCGCACAATTTTAACTTGACATTAAACTATAAAAGTTGTCATAATTGCAAAGGAACTGCAAAATGTAGGCATAGATACTTTAGAATAAAATTGATCCAGCTCTTTTAAATGGTATTCAATGGACTATAAATACCATAGCCACTTGATTCCTGCCATCATCCCTTCAATAATGAACATATCAGCTCACCTTTAACAACTGGAAATTTTGTACCTGAGCATTCTACTTTCCCCCACAGAATATTAATATATATTCATAATGGACATCTTGATGGTCACTCTGGCACATATTACTGAAACAATGTATGTGTAAGTTCTAATTGAATATATTTTCCTGTGATCTAAGCCTCCAAGTGTTAAAGAAAAATTTCGCCTTGATTACATTATCACTTATATTACTTTTGGTACTTGTTACACAATTGGTCAAAACAATATAAATATATTATAAATGATGATTACTAAAGATAAGGTAAAAAA